ATGTGCATGCATTTGTCACAGAAAACAGAACAACAAAATAACATAAATAGAGTGGTGCTTAAAAGTTTGTGAACCCTTTTGAATTTATAATATTTTTGCATAAATATGATCTAAAACATGATCTGTTCTTCACACGTCCTAAAACTAGATAAAGAAAACCTAATTAAACAAGTGAGTAAAAAACATTCTTGTTCATTTATTTATTGAGGAAAATGATCCAAAGCTACATATTTGTGTGTGGCAAAAGTATGTGAACCTTTGCTTTCAGTAACTAGTGTGCCCTCCTTGAGCATCAATAACTGCAGCTAAACATTTCCAATAACTATTGATCAATCCTGCACATTGGCTTGGAGGAATTCTAGCCCATTCTTGGCTTGGAGGAATCCTAGCCTACTCTTACAGAAAAGCTTCAACTCAGGGATGTTGGTGGGCTTCTTTGCACAAACTGCCTGCTTCAGGTCCTTCTACAAGAGTTTTATAGGATTAAGGTCAGGATTTTGACTTGGCCATTCCAAAATATTAACTTTTTTCTCCTTTAATCGTTCTTTAGTGGCACAGCTTGTCTGTTTATGATCATTATCTTGCTGCATGACCCACTTCCTCTTGAGCTTCAGTTCACAGACAGATACCTTGACATTTTCCTGTAGAATTTGCTGGTACAATTCAGAATTGTACATGCCTTGCTCTTGGTGTGATCTTCTGGGGAGGGTAACAGTGGTGTTGAATTGCCTCCATTTGTACATGATCTGCCTGAGAGTGGACTGGTGGAGTCCAAACTCTTTGGAAATAGTTTTGTAACTTTTTCTAGCCTGGTGAGCATCAACAGCTGTTTTTCAGAGGTCCTCAGAGATCTCCTTTGTTCAAGCCACATTTCTACATACCTGTGTTGTGAAGATCCGACTTTAATAGTGAATATCCAGAATTCTAAAACCTACAGCTGGTTCAAAATGCAGCCACACGGATGATAGGTGCCCCTAGGATGACACATGTAACACCTTTGCTGCAGGAGCTGCATTGGGTGCCAGTTTGCTTCTGGTCCAATTCAAGGCATTGGTTATCACATTTAAAGCCCTACATGGCATGGGTCTACGTTACCTGAGGGACCATCTCATCCCCATTACATCAACCCATCCCACCCGATCAGGCAGAGTGTACTTGTGCGTCCTTGAGGGTGGTTAGCGCCCTGGTGACACTCCCTTGAATTATCCACCAACTCTCCATCTTTGTTGGAAGCTTTTTATTATTAGGAATGTTTTATATTGTATTTTAATGAATTTTATCTCTGCTGTAAACCACCCAGAATCATTTCAGTGAGATGGGCAATTACAAATTTGATAAATAAATTATGTTCTTTAAATAAAGCAGGACCTCCCACACTAACACCTGATTATCCTTCCATTGATTAAAACACCAGACTCTAATTTCCCCTTAAAATGAACTGATAATCCTAGAGGTTCACATACTTTTGCACAGGGGAGGGCCGCAGGCAGGCACTAGGGAGTGCAGGCAGGCCAGTGGTGCCTGTGGGTGGGCTGGCAGGGGCCATGGGTGGGTGCTAGGAAGCACGGGCAGGCCAGGAGAGGCTGCAGATGGGCTGGTGGGGGCTGCGGGTGGGTTGGTGAGGGCTGCAGGCAGGTGCTAGGGAGCACGGGCAAGTTGGTGGGGACTGTGCGCGGGTGGTGGGAGCTGTGGGCAGAGGGCTTGCTGTGGGTGGGCGCACATACAGAGGGTGAGCAGGTGGAGGGAGTGCTACAGAGTATGAGATCCCTGGGATCTCATACTCCATAGTGGGGCTCCTTGGGAGAAAAAGCAGTAGAAGCGACTTACAAGAGCAACCTTCCCTGCCGGCTTCCCCATTGACTTTGCTTCTGGGAACCGGCAGGTAAGATTGGAAATGGTGATCATGTGGCTGCAAGATGCTGCACCCGTCATAAGTGTGAGCTGGTTGCCAAGCACCCAAATCTCGATCACATGACTGTGGGGTGCTGCAAAGTCCAAAACTTCGAGGACTGGTTGTAAGTACCGCTCATTCAGCTGAATAAGTGGTACTTACAACTGGTTCTTGAAGTTTTGGACGTCGCAGCACCACCCCCCCCTTGTAACTTTGAATGGTCTCTGAATGAGTGGTTGTAACCCGAGGACTACCTGTATAATTTTATATAGCAATTTTGTATATCTTTATAATATTATCATTTTCATTCATTATGTACATTCAGAAGGGTTTTGTCCATTAAAAGAGTTTTGCTGCATGAAAAGTCCCTTTCTACTTCTTGAAAATAAAGCCATGAAATTGTTTCTTAAAAAAACAAATTTTAATACTACTATTGTAATGGTGGCAGTGGTATCTGAGTGAAATCTCAGAAAGGTATGTTAAAAAATTGAACAAATAATGAAAACAGTATCTGAAACAGTATCTGAAGAATCATAAATAGGGAAATAGCAATGAGTCAATAAAAGCCTTGGCAGAATAAAAAAGGCTGCAGGGGAGGGGGGAGGGAGGGAGACCAAAGGCAGGGTGTGAAATTCATATTCTGTTTAATTATATTTTTCTAATTTCAGAATTGATACATCTTTAAGGAATTGTTTTGATCCAAATCTACTTTTCAGTAATTATGTTAACTATATGTTAGAACACTTAGTTTTTTTATGCAAGGGAGGTCATTGAGTTTTTAGAGAAGTTGAATGGGCAACTTGGCTAAAATTAGAATTATTTGCTTAAGCGTGCTTTTTTGAACCATCCGCTTACCTGTTTCATTAAACAAGTTCTTGCCACCTGGAGCACCAGATGGTTGCAACCAATTTTGGATCCATTGACTGAGTTTGGTTAGGGACAGATGGAATTTCCTTTCTTTTTTACTTTTACCTCACTGGCAAGGTCAGTAAGTTTTCTGTGCTTCACAAGATATTTCAAATGCATGCCAGCTTTATTGAATCATCCATTAATATCAGGCCTGCTTTTTGAAATCTAGCTAGCACTGGAAATTTATTTCCTAATGCCTTTGTTTAATATGCCAGTTCATCTTGATCTCTTGATCTCAATTTATCATCTCAGAAAAAAAAATTGGCTTCTTTTTATTATTTCTCCATTATCTGACCTTTCATTCATTTGCATGTCAACACCGCAGAGAGAAAAACATACTGCCCACATAAGATACTTCTTGCAGAGTATTTTATACTTGCAGTATCTTGCATCTAATCCAGCATACTTCTTTTCCCTGGCACAAATCTAAAGTTATATTTATCCTAACAGATTGACGAACCTATATTATAAATTAAAATACCATGGACGACATAAGCATTTTTTTTAAAAAAATACAAATCTGTGAAGTATTTATACACATACACCTTTCAGATTCTCTGAATTTTTGTGCAACTTTGCCACTGTCAGAACTTCATATGGGCCCTAGTGATATATAACAGGAGTCTGAGTGACTAAATAATACCAAAGTTTGGTGCTAGTTTTATTTATT